TATATATATATATTAACGTTAGAAAATAATGAAAATTACTAGCGGATATTTTGATGCCGAAGGCTAGACAATTTTCAGTTCTTGTGTAACCTCTTTAGGAAACCTATATTACTTGTAAAATGCTTAATTTTATACTCTTTTAAAGGGTAGGACTGTAACTTGCACTCCCTTCATTGACTCCCTTTTCGGTTTGGTGTTGCAAATGGACTTGGAAGGATGTTACTGAAGTTTAGATTGGGTTACGGTCCTTATGGAGGAGTGGGCCCAAGAAAAGGAATTTTTTTTTTTTTTTGGTTTTGGGTTTTCTCATATTCTCCTTTTTTTTTTTCTTCATATTGTATTTTTGTAACAGTATATTTGGTTAGAAAAATGAGAGGGAAGTTGTTGAGTGGAAAAATATACAATATGAAAATAATAGAATTTAAATTAAAAAATTACTTGCCTCTTCTATGGTTTTAAAAATAATAAAAGAAAACGATATGATGGAGAAGTATATATGTACTGAGTTGGTGGATTGCAAGAAGCACCCGCACTATTTAAGGTAAGGGTATGTTTGGTGAAATTTTTAGGAACTTCAGTTTTTTGATATTATTTATATTTCATAAATTTAAATTTTTTTAAAAGAAACTTATATTTTCAAAATTTTTAACTTTAAAAATATCTTAAATAATAAAAATTCAAAAATTTTAAATTCAAATTTTTCATGAACTCCATTTTTATTCGCTTTTCACTTTTTTTTTCTATCTCTAAAAATAATTTTAAAATTTTTCTTTCAATAAAAATTTAAACTTATTATTCATAACAGTATTCATAATAGTATTCATAACAGTATTCAAAAAATAAAAGTTCTTACAAGTTAAATCAAACGCCCTAAGTCAAGTCCATCCCAACAACCCACTTCCCCCCCCCCTCCCCTTCACGGGCGGGTGAAAGAGATAATGGCAAATTGGTAAAATATCCAAATCCACCCCTAAAGTATAGTGGCAGGATGAATCCACCCCCGAACAAAAAGTTGTGACAAATCCACCCACAAAATTTTTGACTTGGACAAATCACTTTAAATTTAACGTGTGACGTCATTTGACATTAGCAATTCATTAATTTGTTAATGGATTGCTGACGTTAGATAACGTCAAATTAACAGATTGCTGACGTCAAATGACGTCACATGTTAAATTTGAGGTGATTTGTCCAAGTCGAAAACTTTGTGGGTGGATTTGTTTTTGTTTTTTGTTCGAGGGTGGATCTGTCCCTGCCACTATACTTTGGGGGTGGATTTGGATATTCTGCCATGGCAAATCCAGAGAGTCTCCCCTCAACTCTAGAGGCAAGGATGGATGGAAACTCCATGTGCACGGGATCCAGCCCCATCCCTATCTTCATTAATGATGGATACGGAAATTCCTATGAAAATTTTTGATGGGGTAAAAAATGAGTTCTATACTTGTGTTCGTGGAAAATGATAGGGTTTTGTAAGTATTTGGAGTTTTTCATTAATGATGAATATAAAAATCCTCATGAAAATTTTTGATGGGGTAAAAAATGAGTTCTGAACTTATAGCTACGTAAAATAATAGGTTTTTGTAAGTATTTAGAGTTTTTGTCAAGTATTAAATATATAAAATTTAATTATATATTTTTAATAAATAAAAAAATAAAAATTTAAAACAATTCAAATAAATAAATACATTAATATATAGTGTAATAAAACAATATCTAATAATTAATTGCAGCAAATATATATTGTCCTACATGTCCAATAGGTCAAGTGACAAGTTCATAAAAAAATACAAGAACTGCCATACAAATCTAGGTTGGGTGGTTTATTGAATTGGATTTGAGAATATTAGAATTGAAAAAGGAATTAAGTTGGACAATTTAAGTTAGGTTTGGTTAGTTAATTAGGTTGAATGAGTAAAAATTAATTAATAATATATTTACAAAAGTATATAAAAATAAATTTATATATATTGTAGTCCCAAAATCTGTAAAAATCAAATAATATGTATTAATTTACAAAATAAATACAAATTGCAATGAAGTTGAAGGAAAATGGGAAACAATCTCTGATTTGGAGTATTGTACTGCATGCACTCGAGTTTTGAAGAGTAATACGTTCTAGAATAACATAATCCTCTTATTAACAGTTGAATTTAAAAGGGCAAAGGCTTAAGCTTGTTCTTGTCCTTTGAGAAATTCAAGACTTGCACTTGAAACTTTTCTCCTTGACATGAATTTGGAACTTACCGCTGACAAGAGGTTGGGGGTTGAAACTTTCGAGAATTGTTGAAGGGAGCTTGAAGCTTGTTGTTTCTCTCCTTTTCTTCCTCTTCCTTCTTTTTTTTTTTTTTTTCTCTTCTCCTCCCTTTTCTTCATCAAAGAATGGCCTATTTATACGCAAAGGAGTCTTGCCAAATGACCTCAA